TTATTTTTGAAGTTATTTTATTTTTTGATGATGATATATAAGTGTTATGAGATGTGAAAATATAAAATAGAAATGATTTTAAGAAGATGGAAAGTATTAAATATGAGAAAATAATCATTTAACATAATTTGAAGGGAAAAATCCTATATTCCCTTGACATTCTCCTTGCCACCAATCACCTTTTTTATTAACAATTTTAATTTTATCTCCTTCTTTAATTGAAAGTTCTGTCTCATTTTCGGCTGAATATGCAAATTGACAAACTACAACTTCTTCATGTTCTTCTTTCTTCTTTGTTTGTTGTATCATATTTTCTATATTTTCATATTTATATTCTTTGATTTCATTATTATGTTGATTATATTCATTAATCATTGATTGATCATTTGGTGTATATGTTGGTTGTGTATTAATATCTCCATTATTCATATTTCTAAGCATTTCTGGAACTTTATCCCATGATAGATTTAAACAATTAATATATTCTGTAAATCCTAACATGATAGTTCGTTCAATTTTTTCATTCATCTCATTTATTCTTTCATTCAATTTATTTATATCATTAATTATTTCATTTCTTAATAATATATATGATTCTTTAGATGCTTTATATTTGGCTTCAGCTTCTTTCATTCCATTTTGTTTCTTTTGTCCTTTCTTTTTAATTTGTTCTAATTTTTCAAAGTGTCTATCCATATCTATCTTTCGATTTTTCATTATATTTATTCTTTTATAATAAACATTCCATTGTTCAATAAATATTTTCATAGGTTCTATAACTTGACAATATAATATTTCTTTAATATGTTTTCCTGCTTCTTCCATTGAATCAAATACATTAATCATTTTCTCACTTTCTTCTTTAGCTTTACTTTTCTCTTCTGAACAATCTTGTAAAATAAGAATTACTTCTTTTGGAATTCCAATTAATTTCTCAGCACTTATTGGAATTTTACTTACTCGTTCAATAATTTCTTTGATTTTCTTTTCTTTCTCAATAATTTCTTTATTCATGTTTTTAAATTCTTTATCAACTGTTTTCTTACTGATTCCAACACTTGTTTTAATTTGAAATATCCCTCTTTTAATACTCATATTTCTTCTTATTTCTTCTTATCTTTATATCTTCTTACCTTTTCATATTCACTTCTCATTAATCTTTTCAGATACTTGAATTTCTGTTTTTTCTCTTTTCTAGTTTTTAGTCTTATGAATATTTTGACTGTTCATTTATCTTTCAATTCCATTTAAATTTCTT